ATCAGGCCCTCGTATTCTGCTATGTTGTTGGAGACCTTCTCTCCATGCTGGAAGCAGAGCTGCACGGCATAGTAGAACTTGTCCTGAGTGGGATATATGAGTACTGCGCCAGCCCCCGCGCCATGTCACGAGAACGCCCCGTCGAAGTACATGACCTAGCCGTCTGGCGCTTCACTTCCTGGGGAAAGCGACCGATCCTCACCCGCTTCGAGCCTTGGTGCCTCCGTCCATTCTGCCACAAAATCTGCAAGTGCGGCTCCCTTGATGACTCTGGTCGTGCTGAATTCCAGCTGAAACGCTTGCAACTCGATGTTCCATTTAGCAACCCTTCCAGCTGAGTTGGGGCTCCTGAGTACCCTTTCCAAGGGATATGCCGAGACGACCTTGATGGGATGGCCTTGAAAGTAGTGCCGCAGCTTGCGTGAGGCCACTAGCAACGCAAGGAGGAGTTCCTGGGGCATGGGGTATCACGCCATTGCGTCCCGCAGCACCGTGCTAACGAAGTACACGGGGTGCTCGATGAGGTTGAGGGTGCTGGCGTGGCCTGCGTCTTCCGGAGGTCGAGGTGCCTCCCGAGGCGACGAAGCCCCTAGAGCCTGGTCGCCTGGCGGGGCCTCCTCCGCTCTGGGTGCGTCCCGCTGCTGAGGCCGATCCCCATCTGCCACGGTCATGGTCTTCGCAGGCTTCCTTGGCTTTGCTCCGCTTCGGCCGGGGCCGCGACCGGCACAGCCTTGGCCCGGCGCTCCTCCCTGACCGCCACCAGGGCTGCGCTGGCGGAGTAGGGCGTGGTTGCAAGGTAGAGCACTAAGGGCTCCTGAGGGCGTGGAGCCACCATCACCGGAGGGCTGGTAAGGTACTTCTTAAGATCTTGGAATGCCTTGTCGGCCTCCTCTGCCCATTCGAACGGGCCCTTCTTCTTCATCAGCTTGAAGAAGGGCAGTGCTCGCTCCCCCAGCTTGGAGATGAAGCGTCCCAATGCGGTTACTCGCCCGGTGAGCTTATGCATTTCTCTAAGGGTCTTCGGTGGACTCATGTCTTCGATTGCCTTGACCTTCTCTGGGTTAGCCTCGATACCCCGGTGGGACACGAGGAAGCCCAAGAGCTTGCCCGAGGGGACTCTGAATACGCACTTCTCCGGGTTGAGCCGCAGATCCACTTCACGGAGGCTCGCAAAGGTTTCTTCTAGGTCCTGTATCAGGGTTTTCGCCTCCCGAGACTTCACCATGATGTCATCGACATAGGCCTCGGCATTCCTCCCGAGCTGCCGGCCCAAGGCGATGTGCATCAGTCGCTGAAAGGTCGCGCCCGCGTTGCGCAACCCGAACGGCATGCAGGTATAGCAGTATACTCCACACGGGGTTAGGAAGGCCGTTTTCTCCACGTCTTCTACCATCATCTTGATCTGGTGATAGCCCGAGAAGGCATCTAGGAAGCACAACAGGTCACACTCGATGGTAGAATTGAAGATCTGGTCGATGTAAGGGAGCGGGAATGGATCCTGTGGGCAGGCCTTGTTGAGGTTGGTGAAGTCGACACACATGCGTTCCTTTCCTCCCATTTTCGGCACAACAACAGGGTTGGCCAGCCATTCAGGATAGCGAACTTCGCGAATGACGCCTGCTGCCTCTAACTTGCGGGTTTCTTGGACGATGAAGGCCTGCTTCTCGATGGACTGTTGCCTTGCCTTCTGCTTCACGGGGCGCACGTTGGGGCATACGTCGAGATGGTGTTTAATCACATCCCTTGGGACCCCTGCTAGCTGATCAGGTTCCCACACAAACACCTCCTTGTTTGCACGCAGAAACTTCACCAGGGCCCCCTCCTGCTCAGGACCGAGGTTGGCACCTATGGTGAAGGTGGCGCCAGAGGATCCATCCTCGTCGACGAGTACTTGCTTGGTCTCTGCCTTGTCTTGGCTGAATAGCTGCTTCTTCTTGGACGGCGCAGCCCCCTTGGGCTCGAGGGTATCTGCGCTAGCGGGCTGCGCCGCCGCGGCCGTCTTGAAAGTGAGCTTGAGTGCCTGCAGCGCATCCCTTGTGTCTCTGGACACAGTAAGGACGCCGCTGCTCCCGGGCATCTTCATGAGGTTGTAAGTCGGGTGAGTCGCTGCCATGAACTGGGCCAAGGCTGGGTAGCCGAGGATGGTGTTGTACGGGAGGCTGATGGGGGCGATGTCGAAGTCGACCAGATCTGTGCGGAAGTTGTCGTGGGTGCCAAAGGTCATCGGTAGGCGGATCTGCCCCAGGGAGCCGGTGAAACTGCCTCCGACGCCCGAGAAGGGCCTGCTGGGTTGGAGCCACTCTAGCGGCACGTGGAGGAGGCTGAAGGCCTCCACCAAGAGCACGTTGAGGACGGCACCACCGTCAATGAGGGTCCTGGTGACGGCCACCTGGCAGATGGTGGGGGTGCATAGCATCGGGAGTGCGCCTGAACAGGCAGTGTTGGAGGGGTGATTGTCCGAGCTGAAGGTCAAATCAGTCTTGGGTGCCACCGAACCCGGGGGAGCTTCACGGCGCTTGAGGACGGCGTCGATCTGGCGGATGAACGGCTTGACGTGGTAGCTCGAAGGTGGTGCCTGCGATCCGCCCAGGAGGGCTGCGACGACTGGGGGCGCTGGCGCAGCATGGTGGGTGAGGAAGAAGTTGCGCAACCCCACAGAAGCCGCTGGCAGGTGGAGCGGCCACATGCGTGGGACGCCGGTGAGGGCCATGGGCAGCAAGTTAGCCATGACCCTGTCGTCGCCTCCGGCCTTGAGGACGACTTCTTCATACGCTAGCAGGAAGGCCAGCGGATCAGCCGCGCCGTCGTAGCGCGGCGGCATGTCCGGCTTGAACTTGTTCGGCCACCGCATCTGTCGCAGGGCGGGGGCCAGGGCTCGGAGCCCCTGGTCCCTGCGCAGGCGTCGATAGCCGTAGCAGGCGTTGCGTTGCCCGCCATGAGGGCGGAGCGTGGTGCTGATGGAGAACAGGTCGACGGCAGGGAGAGCTCCGGCGCATCCCTACCTAGCGTGCCAAATGTCGGATGTTGGGTTCCAGCAGACCCTTAAGCTTCGAACTCTGGGGTGCGCGCGAAGATCTTCCCCCTACCGATTCACGTCCGATCGCCTCGCGAGAATCTAAGCTAGAACGATGAACAACACGAGGGACACGAGATTTATACTGGTTCGGGCCACCGTTGTGGTGTAATACCCTACTCCAGTGTGTGGTGTGGTGGATTGCCTCAGAGGCTGATGATGAACAGTACAAGGGAAGAACAGCCTCGCGAGAGGTGTTCTTGAGCTGGTGCGATGAACTGCTTGGGTGAATTCGATCGCCTCTCGGTCTAATGAGCACTCGATGGGGTCTCTCATTTCCCCCTGTGCTGGCTAGTCCTATTTATAGAGGCCCTGGTCCTCTTCCCAAATATTGAGCGGAAAGGGCGCCAACAACGGTCATTTTGAAGGGGAACATATAGTACAAGTTATCCTGACTAAAGTTGGTCTTCGGCTGCCAAAGGCACTGGTGATGACGCCGTCTTGGGCTTCACGGTGACCTCCATCCTGCCACTCTGCTGGTCTTGGTCTCGTTGCACCGAAATGGCAACCTTTGCCTGATACCTCGGTACTCCATGCCTGTGCTTGCCCCCTTTGCACCAAAAAGGAAACAAGGACATTGCGCAGGCCGGCGCCCGCTTGGCGCCCGCCTGGTCTCGATCGTCATGGCTTGCGTCACGAGCACCTCGCGAGGTACCCTACCTTGATCTCTCCGCCTCCTCGCGAGCCCGCCTGGCGAGGCCGTTCCTGAGGAAGTCGTGTGTCGTCCGCCCCGCGAGGCTTGGCCCCTCGCGAGGGTCTTAAGTCTTGCGCTGATGAAGATGGGCCGTACTGGGCCACCACTCGAGCCACGCCGCAGGCCGCAGGCAGGCAAGTCTGGGGACCCCCGTTCCCAGAACGCCGACAGTAGTACCAACTTGCTATTGCTTCTGCATGTTGTTTATTTTGCGAGATCGTGTCTTGTGTTTTTTACCTCGGTCGCCCACAGAGCAGTGTCATGAACGATTGTCATAGTAGTTTGAGGTACTTCCTCCGTCCGAAAAAACTTGTCCCAAACTTGTCCCTCAAATGGATGTATCTAGCACTAACTTGATGCTAGATACATCCATTTAAGGGATAAGCTTTTTCGGACGGAGGGAGTATGTGCCTTGTGAATGCAGTTGCAAATGTGTGACTGAAACTGAGACAACAAAGTTTTGCCACAAGATTTTGCCATATCATAGAATGTAAGATTCAAACTGTGTCACACACTTGGCATGTACAATACTCTTGGATTTATTTCAGGCAGTCGCTTTTGAACGCGGTCGTGTTTCCCCTCCACTGTCATAACCATGGCCTTCCCTTGATTACCATAACATTGGCCTCTAAGGCAGAACATCATTAACATTCAAATAAAAACACTAAGTGCATCAGTTGTCAAAAAGTCACACCCCTAATATATCATCCATGTTGCAAAACTCTAGGAAAAAATTCACCGTGTTCGGCATGTTTACTCACCTCATAATTGAAGTCAATTGTTTCTCATGGCTAACACCAAGGGTACAACCTAGAATTATAGAGAAATATTTGGCATCTTTACGGTATTTGCAAGAGGATAAAAACTCATTCTGAATCTTATGGCCCAAATAGTTATGGTGACTACTAATCTGAATGTGGGTAATATGGTCTTGCACTTTATGATCAGAGTCTATTCACTGCTTTACGGAGGGAGTAGTTTACAATAGACCAACCATCCACCTCTCTTTTACTCTAAACTTTCTTGAGAAAAATATAAGCTTGTGAAAAATGTGTAGAAGTATTATTTGAAGGAAACAAGATATTCCCTTTTGTAGGCCCTTTTTCAACTAGAGTGTGTGTAGATTGCCGGCCACAGTTACAATACAGTTACTACGTACCGGAATTAATCAGAACGAGATACAGTTATGTAGCAGAGACAGAGGAGGGAGGACGAGGGGATCCATTGCTTGCTTCAGTTGTGTCGCCGGCAGTTTGCTCGGACCTCGCCGGGCTGGTTGAGCGCGCTCATCCTCAGCATGGAGCTCACGAACGCCCTGAAGAAGGCGTCCTGCCGCGCCGCGTACAGCGCCACGAACCGCCGCGTCTTGGGGTGCGTCAGCAGCACCTCGTCGGAGGACAGCAGCCCGCGCCCGCTCTGCAGCATCCGGTAGTAGGCGTTGTCGAAGGTGGCGGACGTGGGGTCCATCCCCGACCCGGCGCCCCTGGCCGTGTTGTTGGCCGGGCACGCCCTGCGCAGCGCGGCCGCGAAGGACGGGTTCAGCGCCGGGTCCACGTCGGCGCCGGGCCGGAAGCCGTGGATGCGGCTCTGGAAGGAGGAGCAGTGCGCGAACCCCAGCGTGTGGCCGCCGGAGAGCACCACCAGGTCCTTGACCGACATCCCCAGCGCGTGGAACGCCTGCCTGAGCTGGTCGAAGCTGGCCCCGGGCCCCGGCAGCGCCGAGGTGGTGTCGCTGGCCAGCGACACCCGTCCGTCCCCGCGCCCCAGCAGCGGCGACCAGGACGGGCCGCCGGAGAGCGCGACGGCGTCCCTGGCGGCGAGCGCGAGGATGTCGGCGCAGGAGACGACGCCCGGGCACATGGCCTCCACGGCCTGCTTGGCGTTGTCGATGACGAAGAAGGCGTGCAGCGAGGCGTTGGGCGGGCCGTCCTTCTCCGCCGTGTTGGTGGCCGTGGAGTCGATGAGGACGGAGGCGTCGCACCCCCGGACGAAGCAGTCGTGGAAATGCAGGCGGAGCAGGCCGGCCGGCACGGTGCGGTCCTTGGCCACGGCCTGCCTGACAGCCGCGGCCACGGCCGCCTCCGCCCTCGGGCAGCTCTGCCGGTAGTGGTCCAGGCTCAGGGCATCGCCGCCGCCGCCGCCCAGGCTCACTATAGCTAGCGCTAGAAGCACTGAGCCGAGCGGCGCCCGTGGCCAGGGCCAGGCCCAGGTGCGGCAGCGATCAGGATGCAGCTGCGGCGCCATTAAGTGTGCTGGCTAGTCTGAGCAGCTGCTGCTGCATGTGTCTGGCAGAGAGGGTGAGCTAGCTAGGAGGATATATCCGATCGCCGCCGCATGGTGGTGGCCTAATCAAACAATCGATGAACCAAATCTGTGAGTGCAACGCATGCATGTGATGTATGCCCAGCCAAGCTATCTATCTGGGCTGTGGTACTCCAAGTGGTATCTCGTATGTATACAAGAGAGGCTGGGTACAATGCTTGGGTACATCAGAATATCAGATAGGCCGGCAGTATGGACACAATGCGTGGGTACATAACAGTAGTCAAAGGCACAACCCTCTGTTGCAACAGCTACATTTACAACCACGCAAAAAAAAAACAGCTACATTTACAGATCATTTTCATTCAAAGGTGAAATCTGAAGGATTTTTACATTTGTCACCACGACCGTGCTCACTATCGTTGTCGATTACCATTCTTACAATTGGGGGCTGGCTACAAATAAGTCGCCTGAAAATTGAATTGCGCAAAGTCGATTTTGTGGTTGTTGGATGAGGCTCCGTCATCTTATACCTCGAGTTAGTCCCTTCTCTTCTCCCTCCTCTATCGCCTGCAGCACGCAACGTCCCTCCATTCCCTTAGCCCCCCGCCGCCCACCACCACCCTCCCACCACAACCACAACCATACACACAGTCGAACTTGTCATCGTCCAAGGCCTTCCCTCTAAGCGACGTTGACCTCCAGTTTCGACGTCGACTACATCCACACCTGTCAACCATCTAACTCGTCTCTGCCGGCTATGACTCGTTACTGGTCGAGGCCTTGCCGGCGCCAGCGGCAGCCCGGTGTTGCGCATCTTCCTTCTCCCCTGAATTGACTCTCCCAATTCTTAACAACTTACGTCTGGCTAGCTTTTCGTAAGATGTTTGAAACATACAATGTAACGATTACGTTCAGAACACAAACAGATCCGTCTAATAAGAGCATCTACAACCGGATATATCTCATCCAGCCCTCAAACATCCGTACACATGTCCGGGCGCATCCGTGGGCACTGACCGATCATCTCTCATTTGGCTGCTGCCACAGTTGTGTTGGGGATCGTAGCAGAAATTTAATTTTTTTTACGTATCACCAAGATCAATCTATGGAGTCATCTAGCAATGAGAGAGAGGAGTGCATCTACATACCCTTGTAGATCGCGAGCGGAAGCGTTCAAAAGAACGGGGTTGATGGAGTCGTACTCGTCGTGATCCAAATCACCGATGATCCTAGCGCCAAACGGACGGCACCTCCGCATTCAACACACGTACGGAGCGGTGACGTCTCCTCCTTCTTGATCCAGCAAGGGGGAAGGAGAGGTTGAGGAAGAGAATTCCAACAGCAGCACGACGTCGTGGTGGTGATGGAGCGGCAGTACTCCGGCAGGGCTTCGCCAAGCTCTTGATCGGAGGAGGAGAGGTGTTGGGGAGGGGAGGGGCTGCGCCTTGGATGTGGTGTGCAGCCCTCCCCTCGCCCCTCTATTTATAGGGGAAGGGGGAAGGGGGCCGGCCCCCTCTAGATGAGATCTAGAGGGGGGGCAGCCAAGGGGAGGGGGCTTGCCCCCCAAGCAAGGGGGGCGCCCCCTCTAGGGTTCCCCCCAAACCCTAGGCGCATGGGGCCAAGGGGGGATGCGCCAAGCCCTCCAGGGGCTGGTTCCCTACCCACTACGGCACATGAGACCCTCCGAGAGAGGTGGCCCCTCCTGGTGGACCCCCGGAACCCGTCCGGTGGCCCCGGTACAATACCGATATGCCCCCGAACTTTTTCGGTGACCGTATGACAACTTCCCACATATAAATCTTCACCTCCGGACCATTCTGGAACTCCTCGTGGCGTCCGGGACCTCATCCGGGACTCCGAACAACATTCGGTAATCACTTACAAGTCTTCCTAATAACCCTAGCATCACCGAACCTTAAGTGTGTAGACCCTACGGGTTCGGGAATCACGCAGACATGACCGAGACAGCTCTCCGGCCAATAACCAACAGCGGGATCTGGATACCCATGTTGGCTCCCACATGTTCCACGATGATCTCATCGAATGAACCACGATGTCGAGGATTCAAGTAATCCCGTATACAATTCCCTTTGTCAATCGGTACGTTACTTGCCCGAGATTCGATCGTCGGTATCCCAATACCTCGTTCAATCTCGTTACCGGCAAGTCACTTTACTCGTACCGTAATGCATGATCCCGTGACCAACCACTTGGTCACATTGAGCTCATTACGATGATGCATTACCGAGTGGGCCCAGAGATACCTCTCCGTCATACGGAGTGACAAATCCTAGTCTCGATCCGTGCTAACCCAACAGACACTTTCGAAGATACCTGTAGTATACCTTTATAGCCACCTAGTTACGTTGTGACGTTTGGTACACCCAAAGCACTCCTACGATATCCGGGAGTTACACGATCTCATGGTCTAAGGAAATGATACTTGACATTAGAAAACCTCTAGCAAACGAACTACACGATCTTGTGCTATGCTTAGGATTGGGTCTTGTCCATCACATCATTCTCCCAATGATGTGATCCCGTTATCAACGATATCCAATGTCCATGGTCAGGAAACCGTAACCATCCATTGATCAATGAGCTAGTCAACTAGAGGCTCACTAGGGACATGTTGTGGTCTATGTATTCACACATGTATTACGATTTCTGGATAACACAATTATAGCATGAACAATAGACAATTATCATGAACAAGGAAATATAATAATAACCATTTTATTATTTCCTTTAGGGCATATTTCCAACAGTCTCCCACTTGCACTACAGTCAATAATCTAGTTACATTGTGATGAATTGAACAACCATAGAGTTCTGGTGTTGATCATGTTTTGCTCGCGGAAGAGGTTTAGTCAACGGATCTGCGACATTCAGATCTGTATGCACTTTGCAAATATCTATGTCTCCATCTTGAACATTTTCACGAATGGAGTTGAAGCAACGCTTGATGTGTCTGGTCTTCTTGTGAAACCTGGGCTCCTTGGCAAGAGCAATGGCTCCAGTGTTGTCACAGAAGAGAGTCATCGGCCCCGACGCATTGGGAATAACTCCTAGGTTGGTAATGAACTCCTTCATCCAGATCGCTTCATGTGCTGCCTCCGAGGCTGCCATGTATTCCGCTTCACATGTAGATCCCGCCACGACGCTTTGCTTGCAACTGCACCAGCTTACTGCTCCACCGTTTAAAATATATACGTATCCGGTTTGTGACTTAGAGTCATCCAGATCTGTGTCGAAGCTAGCGTCGACGTAACCCTTTACGACGAGCTCTTCATCACCTCCATAAACGAGAAACATATCCTTAGTCCTTTTCAGGTACTGCAGGATATTCTTGACCGCTGTCCAGTGTTCCATGCCGGGATTACTTTGGTATCTTCCTATCAAACTTACGACAAGGTTTACATCAAGTCTGGTACACAGCATGGCATACATAATAGACCCTATGGCCGAGGCATAGGAGATGACACTCATCTTTTCTCTATCTTCTGTCGTGGTCGGGCATTGAGCCGAGCTCAATTTCACACCTTGCAACACAGGCAAGAACCCCTTCTTGGGCTGATCCATATTGAACTTCTTAAATATCTTATCAAGGTATGTGCTTTGTGAAAGACCTATGAGGCGTCTCGATCTATCTCTATAGATCTTGATGCCTAATATGTAAGCAGCTTCTCCAAGGTCCTTCATTGAAAAACACTTATTCACTTATTCAAGTAGGCCTTAATGCTGTCCAAAAGTTCTATATCATTTCCCATCAAAAGTATGTCATCTACATATAATATGAGAAATGCTACAGAGCTCCCACTCACTTTCTTGTAAATGCAGGCTTCTCCATAAGTCTGCATAAACCCAAACGCTTTGATCATTTCATCAAAGTGAATGTTCCAACTCCGAGATGCTTGCACCAGCCCATAGATGGAGCGCTGGAGCTTGCATACCTTGTTAGCATTCTTAGGATCTACAAAACCTTCCGGCTGCATCATATACAATTCTTCCTTAAGGAAGCCGTTAAGGAATGCCGTTTTGACGTCCATTTGCCATATCTCATAATCGTAGAATGCGGCAATTGCTAACATGATTCGAACGGACTTCAGCTTCGCTACGGGTGAGAAGGTCTCATCGTAGTCAACCCCTTGAACTAGTCGATAACCCTTAGCGACAAGTCGAGCTTTATAGATGGTAACATTACCATCCGCGTCCGTCTTCTTCTTAAAGATCCATTTATTTTCTATCGCTCGCCGATCATCGGGCAAGTCTGTCAAAGTCCACACTTTGTTTTCATACATGGATCCTATCTCGGATTGGCTTCAAGCCATTTGTTGGAATCTGGGCCCGCCATCGCTTCTTCACAATTCGAAGGTTCACCGTTGTCTAACAACATGATTACCAAGACAGGGTTGCCATACCATTCTGGTGTGCAACGTGTCCTTGTGGACCTACGAAGTTCAGTAGCAACTTGATCCGAAGTACCTTGATCATCATCATTAACTTCCTCTCTAGTCGGTGCAGGCACCACAGGAACATCTTCCTGAGCTGCACTACTTTCCGGTTCAAGAGGTAGTACTTCATCGAGTTCTACTTTCCTCCCACTTATTTCTTTCGAGAGAAAATCTTTCTCCAGAAAGGACCCGTTCTTGGCAACAAAGATCTCGCCTTCTGATCTAAGGTAGAAGGTATACCCAATGGTTTCCTTAGGGTATCCTATGAAGACGCATTTTTTCAATTTGGGTTCAAACTTTTCAGGTTGAAGTTTCTTGACATAAGCATCGCATCCCCAAACTTTTAGAAACGACAACTTAGGTTTCTTCCCAAACCATAATTCATACGGTGTCATCTCAACGGATTTAGACGGTGCCCTATTTAAAGTGAATGTAGCTGTCTCTAGAGCGTATCCCCAAAATGATAGCGGTAAATCGGTGAGAGACATCATAGATCGCACCATATCCAATAGAGTGCGATTACGA